AAATGGCATTAGCTATGTTTAACTTAGGGTGAGGCTGGGGTCTTTCAGTCCTATGCAGATAACAAGTTTGTTGTTCATGGAGGCATCTTCTAACACGTGAATGAGTGAAAGGAGTATTCACTGAGTTTAGGTCAGAAGCTGCCATAGAAATGAAGCACAAAGTTTCGGAGTAAATTGTAAAGGAAGAGAAATGAGCCTACTGGATATACACAACCAACTGAGAATTTGTTGTAGTAAGCATCCATTTTGAATAGAAACAGCTGCTGCTTCGTAAATGTTAGTAGAATTGGAACATTTTACTCACCCAATTTGACTTCCAGAAAGAAGGCTCCTTGTTTGATTAGGGGAAGGGAGAGGTTGGAGATCTAACCCAGGCTGGACTTGAACTTGTCTCAGTCTCATACTAAGAATACAGGTGTGTATTACCACACCAAACTAAAGTCAAATGTCCAGGTCTTGCTTTTTTTGTTATGTGTACATGTGTGCCCACCCATGTGGCACCTGGAAATTGACATCTGGTGTCTTCCCTGATCATTCTCTACTTTGTTTTTTTAAACCCTAGTCTCTCTGGAGACTGGTCTACAGAGCAAGTTTAGGACAGCCAAGGCTATACAGAGTGACCCTGTCTCAAGGGAAAGAAAAGAAAAAGTAAAAACCTGGAGCTTATCAGTTTACCTAGAGAGGCTAACCTGTACGTACCTGGGATTTAGGTGGATGCTGAAATGTCCACCTTTTGTGTGGGGCTGGGATCCAAACTCAGTTCTTTATGCTTACATAGCATGTGCTTCACCACACTGAGCCATCTCCTCCCACCCAAAGCCCAGGCTTTGTTAGCTATAAAGGTGCTGTCTATGCTCAGAGAAGTGTGAGTCCTCTATCATTCTCCCCCTATTCCTTTTAGGCAAGATGACTCCTGAGCCCTGGGCCTTGCTTCTCTTTTTATTTCCCCTCAGCTAGTCTGTAAGCCAACAAGCTCCAATGAGCTTTCTGTTTTCACACACAAACACACAGACAGATAATATTTAAAAATAAACAAATGTGGTGCTGGAGAGAAAGCTCAGAGTTAAGAACACTCGCTGCTCTTCCAAAGGTCCTGAGTTCAATTCCCAGCAACCACATGGTGGCCCATAACCATCTATAGTAAGATTTGGTGTGCAGGCAGAATGTTATATAAATAATAAATAAATCTTTAAAACAAACAAACAAATGCCAGGAATGGTAGCTAATCCAGCTATCTGGAGGCAGAGGCAGGCCTCTGTGAGATTCAGGTCAGGCAGGATTACATAGAGGAGAGACCCTCTCTTTAAAAAAGAAAAAAGGCAACAGCTCAGTCTAGGATGTTTCTCCTTTGTCTCCCTTCTACCCTTGGGAATTCTTTTTCTTCTTAGTAAATCTGTTTGCTAAAGAGAGCAGCAGTAGCAGCAGCAACTAGGTTTACATTAGTCAGAACATGGCTTTCCAGGAGCTGAGAAAAAACACTTGTGTTTCTGTGTGGTAATGTGATGGAAACTCATAAGGACTGAGTGCTAGAGGTCTGACTCTTTGACCAAAGCTTTTTTGGGCTGATTATGGTGGCTTCCGGAGGTGGGACCTTGAACTGGCTGTATAGGAGTTTGCCCGTGGAGACTTGAAGTTCATTGGAGATAAATTCTTGCCAGTTTTCACTTATAATTATTGTGAATATGAATACATTAAAATTTTCAGAAAAGGGTGTTCTTCATTATTTTTAAGGTGGAAGCTGAGCGACAAGCCAGCAAAGAAGAAGAAAACAAAGCCAGTGAGGAATATATACAGAAATTGTTGGCAGAAGAAGAGGAGGAGGAAAAAAGACAGTTGGAAAGAAGAAGAAGCGAGATGGAAGAACAGCTGAAAGGCGATGAAGAACTGGCAAAAAGTCTAAGCATCGATATTGTAAGTTTTGACAGAGATGCTCTTGTGGCTTTGATTTTCCAAGGACCTGAAGAAACACCACAGCAATTAGAAGTTTTTTTTTTAGGGTATCTTTGTTCTACTTAAGGAAAAAAGTTTTTTGTTTTCTGTTTTTATGAGTATATGTCATATGTGTTTGGGTGTTCACAGGGCTAGAAGAGGGCATCAGATCCACTTGACATGGGTGCTAGAAAGTGTCTTAGATACTCTAGAAGAGCAGTGAGTGATTGTATTCTCTGAGCCATCTCTCCAACCCTGAAATAAATAATAACAGACTTTTCTTCTGTTTTGAGTTTTTGTTTTTTGAGGAAAAAATTCATGTAGTACTCATGGTACCATGAGTAGCAGCAATGGACAGATTGTAGGAGTTGGTTCTCTACTTCCTCTGTGTGGGTTCTAGGGTTCAAACTCTGTTCTTCAGGTGTGGTTGCAAATGTGTTTCCCCCTTGAGCCATCTCCTTGGTCCTTCCAGCCTACTCCTTAAATATACATTGAACCTGGGTTTTGTTATCTTACTGTTAAATTATTGCTTATAAAGAAAAATAAAAAGGCAAGATGGTAAAGCATGCTAAAACTTTCCCAGCACCCACATGGTGCATGATAGCTGTCTGTAACTCCAGTCCCAGGAAATTGGACACCCTGGCCTTTGAGTACCCTACAACATATGCTGTGCATGGACGTACACATAAGCACACAAATCAATAAAATAAAGTATAAGTTCTCATACTTACTCTGAACCAAACTGACTTAGACTCTGTGGGTGAGCCTTACTGTCTTCAGTGAGACCTAGGCTGTCTGAGATATTGAGGCTACACAGCCTCTGAGAATTAACTCCTTACTTTTGAAAATCACACATCTGAGTATATCTCACCTAAATATCTCACCCAGAGCTGGGTGGTGGCAGCGCATGCCTTTAATCCCAGTGAATTCCAGGACAGCCAGGGCTACACACAGAGAAACCCTGTCTCAGAAAACGAACAAAAAGTAGTATACCTATAATTTTCTTTTAGTGAATCTTACCACTTACAATGTACTTAAGCTTTGTGATCTTCTCCCCCTTTTGTTGTATATCCTTTTCTCAGTTTGACAGAATGATAAAGGGGATAATGAGAGGAATGGACATGAAAACATTTGAAGAGGGGAATTTGGAGTCACCTGTACTTGCTAATTCTGCTTTTCACATGAAGTTGGAGTAGATGTATTCAAATTTTAGAGTAATTTTGGTTTAATGTAAAATTTTAGAGATGGGTGAACAATTATGACTATTTCTGTCTAATAACTTTTGCTCGAGATATATTCTTGGTTCTTTAAATATTTTGCTCAATAGAATAAGGTAGCTACAATTACATGAGGCTTTCAGGGCCTGGGAGGATGGCTCAGTGGTTGAGTACTTCTACATTCCAGAGCACCCGGGTTTGATTTTCAGCACCTGCATGGTGGCTTACAACCATGTCTAACTCCAGTTTCAGGGCATCCAGCGTGCTCTTCTGAGCTCCTAGGGTATCAGGCCTGCATGGGGTGCATAGACATATGTGGTGCTGGCAAAATACCCGTACACATAAAATAAGTTTTTGGGTTTTTTGTCTTTTCAAGACAGGGTTCTTTGTGTGGCCTTGGCTGTCCATCAGGCTGGCCTTGAACTCAAGAGATCTGCCTGCCTTGGACTCCTGAGTGCTGGGATTAAAGGCATGTGCCACCACCTGGCATAGATCGTCTTTAAAAAACAAAACCCTGAAATTGTCAGCTAGGAGATTAATTAGTATCTTCATTTTTTTGAGGGACAGTGTATTTATATGTGTGCTGTGTTTCATTTTATGTATATACATGTATAATTTATAAATAACAATTTTATATATAGTAATGTTAATTTACACAAACTTGAACAAAAAAGTATATAATATTTATATATAATTATATATAGTAACAAATTTATTTAAGCTAGGCACACTTGAATGGGTTTAATTTTATTAATGTAGGTATTCTTCAATATATAAATTAGTTTTAGGATCTCCTATGCATACAAAAACCTAAAGACAGTCAAATCTTATATAAAATGGCACAGCTTTTCATATAACCTAAACATATCCCTCTGCATACATATTTTTATTATATTTATGTATTTAATGAGTGTGCGTGTGTGCGCGCGCACGTGCTTGCACATGTACGCATATGCATGTCACATGGAAACTGGTGGGTAACTTGTGAGAGTTGTTTCTGTTTCTGTCCTGTGGGTCTTGAGACTTGGTGATGGGCACCTTTTCTACTGAACCACCTTGGATCCTGTGGACTTTAAGTCATCACTTAGGACCTGTAATGTGTTGTAAATGCTGTGTGGATGCCTAGTGCAAAATAAAGTCTTGGGAATGAAAATGAAGTACGTACATGCTCAATATTCTTTAAGAGAACTCACAGAAATTAATTTTCTGAATAATGTTAAGAATTTTGAGTTAGGGGCTAGAGATATGGCTCAACAGGTAAGAGCACTGGCTGCTTTTCCAGAGGACCTGGGTTTGATTCTCAGCACCCACATAGTAGCTCACAGCTGTCTGGAACTCCAGTTCTAGGGCATAGTCTCACACACATATATAAGCAAGCAGAGCACACCAGCGTACATAAAATAAAAATAAAGTATTTGAAATTTTGAGTTAGTCTAATTCAAATCTACTTCATCATCAAGTTCTCTTTAATAATGTCTTTGTATGTTTTTCTTGTTACTGAAGAACGGTTCCAAAAATTTGAGTTCCAGAAAATCGGATCCAGTCACAAACAAGTCACAGAAGAAAAATACAAACAAACAAAAAAACTTTGGAGATATTCAAAAGTAAGTGAATATGACTGTCATTTAGCTATTGATCATTTACTGTATGCCTTTGGGTTTTGTTTATATTGACAACCGAGTCCTTAAGGTTTGTTAATGGGCTTTAATTTTGTGCTTTTAAAGATTTATTTACCAGCAGGGCATGGTGGCACATGCCTTTAATCCCAGAACTTGGGGAGGCTGAGGCAGGTGGATTGCTTTGAGTTCCAGGACAGCCGAGGCTACTCAAACAAACCTTGTCTTGAAAAAAGGAAACAAGACAAAAAGATCTATTATTATTATTATTATTTTGGCTGAATGTATGAAAATTCATTGGGAGTGTGCCTGGCCCCCCGCAGGTGCCGAAAGACAGAATTGGATCCTCTGGAACTGGAGTTACAGCTGGTTATGAGCCACAGTGCCCTGGGTCTCCATCAGGCATGGCAGCAAGCACCTGTACCCACTGCGCCATCTTATAAAAAGCTGTTTTAAAAAATTGACAGCTCGAGTGAGGCAGTTAGTGATGACACACGCTTTTAATACCAACACTGAGGAGGCAGAGGCAGGCAGATGTCTGTGAGTTCAAGCCAGCCTGGGCTACAGAACTAATTGTAGGAAGTTTTCAGAAGACCCAGGTTAAATTCTAGGACTCAAATAAGGTGGGGTGGCTCATAACTCTCTCAGGCAATACCATTCACTTTTCTGGCCTCTATAGACTATGAACACATATAGCATAAAACCACACAGGCATACACACATAAGTAAAAATAAAATGAATCTTTAAAAAAAATATGGGCTGGGTGCTGGAGAGATGTCTCAGTGGTTAAGAGCACTGTCTGCTCTTCCAAAGGATGCAGGTTCCATTTCTAGCACCCACATGGCAGCTTATAACTTGTCTGTAACTCCAGTCCCAAGAGATCTGATATCCTCACATCAATGTACATAAAATTAAATAAATGATTTTTAGAAATGTGGGCTAGAGTTGAGCATATTGGTACATGCCTTTAATCCCAGCACCTGGGAGGCCAGAGGGAGGCCAATTTTGAGTTTGATGCTAGCCTGGTCTACAAAGTGATTTCCAGACAGCCAGGGCTACACAGAGAAAACCAGTCTTTAAAAAACAAAAACAGGGCTGGAGAGATGGCTCAGTGGTTAAGAGCACTGTCTCCTCTTCCAGAGGTCCTGAGTTCAATTCCCAGCAACCACATAGTGGTTCACAACTATCTATACTGGAATCTGATACCTTCTTCTGGCATGCAGATGTACATTTGGATAGGGCACTCATCTACATAATAAATAAATAAATCTAAAAACAAACAAAACCAAAATCACCTGTTTTTGAGGCTAGACTAGTCTCCAAGTCAAATTCTAGGACATCTAAGGCTGTAACACAGAAAAACCCTGTCTTGAAAAAAAAAAAAAAAAAGAGAGAGATCTCTTTTTAAAGTAAGAAATGAGGACTGACAAGGTAGCTCACTGGATAAAAGTGCTTGCAGTACCAGCCTGGCAATCTGTTAGATCCCTAGAGCCCTTGTAAAGGTGGCAAGAGAACTGCCTCCCCAAAGTTGTCCTTGGCATGCATGTATAACATAAATACATAAACACACACAGTGGCATGCATGTACTAACGGAATCATCAAACCTGTTATACACACTCAATAACAGATCATAAGGATAGTAAGAGATGAGAACTGAAGTCTAGTATAAGGAGATGAAGGAACCTCAGAGGGAGGGAACTTTATAACCAGACACACATATTCTCTCTCTCTCTCTCTCTCTCTCTCTCTCTCTCTCTCTCTCTCTCACACACACACACACACACACACACACACACACACACACACAGAACATTAAACCAAGTAGTATGTATGTGAGTTTTAAGCTTTTTAAAAAGAATTCCATGGATACTTTAAAGTACATCAATCTTAATGGTAGTTTTTAGGGAATTTCTGCATGTCAAAATAACCCTCTGGCTAGAATATTTGCACAAATGCCAGACATTGTGGCACATGCCCTTAAGCCCCACACTTGTAAGACAGGTGGAACTCTGTGAATTCGAGGCCAGCCTGGTCTACATGGATCTCCATGACAGCCAAGGCCCTATTATGGAACCCTATCTTAAAAAAAAAAAAAAAAAAAAGGAGAAGACCGAAAATCTTCCTCCAAGCATTCCCATATCTCCCCCTTTGCCCCTTTGCTCTCTTTCAAGTTCATGGCCTTTTAAAATTAATTACTATTATATGCATATATGTATACCTATATACATATATATTCCAAAATATAACCTCTTTGGTCTGTATAATAACATTGCTCATATCTTCAGGACTAGCCACTTGGTACTGGATACTAATTGTTGGGCTCTTCCCTGGGGAAGACAGTTTCTTCTACTCAGTATTGCTTGGTTGCTTGTAGTTCTTTCTTTAGGGTGGAGGCCTTGTGGGCTTCCCCGTTTCCACTTTGGCATATCAAAATTAAGTAATTATAACCTCAAAAAGAAAAGAAAAATAAATTATATATATATATATATATATATATATATATATATACACACACACAAAAATGTTTACATGAGGTTCACTCTAGAACTTTCCAGTGATACTCCTTTCCCATTACATGATTTCTATGGTTCTTACATATGTGAACTACTCTTTTTTCATAAATTTTTTTTTTTTTTTTTTTTGAGACAGGGGTTTCTTTTTTCTCTGTGTAGCCCTGGCTGTCCTGGAACTCACTTGTCGATCAGTTTGACCTCCAGCTCATAGATCTGCCTGCCTCTGCCCCCTGAGCACTGAGATTAAGGGCATGCACCACCACTGCCTGGCCATAAAGTATTTCTTTTCATGAGGTGTACCACTCTGTGTGTTTTCTTGATAAGGTCTTTAAGATATAAGAAAAAGTTACCAAGGGCTATGGTTGCTTTTTAAAAGGATGCTTTGAACTAGGTATGATTGACACACATTTTAGTCCCAGTTAATCTAAAGACTAACTAAGGCAGGAGAACCTCAGGTTTGAGGCCAGCCTAGACAGTGTAAGTGACATAGTGAGCCCTTTTCTGAAAGGGAGGAAAAGGCTATAGAAATTCATGTTTTATAGTTGGCCGGCAGTGAGTGAGGTAGAATACTGCAGAGCCCACTGACCCTTCACATTGCCCAGGACACACACAAGCATCTTAAAATCAAGTTCCAGAGGAGAAACAAAGCTATTTGAAGGGGCTGGAGAGATGGCTCAGAGGTAAGAGCACTGGCTGTTCTTGCAAAGGTCCTGAGTTCAATTCCCAGCAACTACATGGTGTCTCATAATGATGATATCTGTGCCCTCTTCTGCCCTGAAGGTACACATGAAGGCAGAATACTGTATAAGTAGTAAATAAATAAAATTTAAAGCTATTTGAAGAGGGTAGTGGAATCCTCTCATCTAAATGTTGAGGTGTCAGATGTCTACATGGTTCTTGGAGTTGAAAGAAGAGCAGATATAATCTGTCAGCTATTAATTTGTACGAACTGCCACCAATAAAGCAGTTTTCCCACAGGAAACAATCATTTTAAACTAAGTACAAATATGTTGGGGGGAAGGTTGTTAACCTATTTTTGGCATTTTTAAAAAGATTTATTGCTTTATTATTTATACAGTACTCTGCCTGCATGTATACGTACACACCTGAAGAGGGCACCAGATCTCATTATAGATGGTTGTGAGCCACCGTGTGGTTGCTGGGAAATTGAACTCAGGACCTCTGGAAGAGCAGCCAGTGCTCTTCACCTCTGAGCCATCTCTCTGGCCCCTATAAATATGTTAACATGCATTAATACCTGGGTTCTTGCTGGAAGAAACAAAAAAAGCCATTTTCTCAAGCAGATTTTAAGAAAAAAATGTAATAACCAAAATTTCTGGCAAAACAAAATATTATCCAATTAAAATATTTATTATTATTTGGAGTTTTTTGAGACAGAGTTTCTCTGTGTTGCTCTGGCTGTTCTGGAACTCGCTCTGTAGACCAGGCTGGCCTCAAACTCAGGAGTCCTCTGCCTCCTGAGTACTGGGATTAAAGGTATGTGCCACCATTGCACAACCTAAAATGGTATTTTCGTTAATTTTGAGAAACTTTGTCGTCTTTCATTGCTTGATCCTATCAACCTTTTAAACCCTTTTCAAATTTAATATGACCTTTTTTTCTTTTACAGTAAAATACAGTACTGAACTCCCATCTCCACCCCTGCATTGTTAGGACAGGAAGCTAGGATCTCCAGCGTGCTGGCAAGGCACTCTTCACTGTCCTGGAATACTCAAGGTTTCAGGTTGTATCTTAAAGTTGACCTGAGACCTGGAGATGAAATCTGCTCCAGTGAGAAAAGTAGACAGCAAACAGAACCTTTAGGCATAAGTGGCTCGTCAACCTTTATCATACTGAGTTTTTTCAAAGCATTCAAGTTTTAGTAAACTTTTAACATTTTTTTTGTTTGTTTGTTTAAAGGTATTTGTTACCTAAGTTGAAGTCTGAGTCAGCATGGCCATGTCAAGCTGTGCATGGAGAAGACAAAAGCTGCATGTCGAAGGTATGTGGATGCTGAAGAGGCTGGGAGTTGGGCACTGACTCCCCCTGTGAGGCACTAGGACCTGTGCTGTCCAGGCTCACTTTTCTCTAATGAGCAGGGACAGATAGGTTTGTCTGTTACCAGAGGCCTCTGCCCTGGTTACCAGTGGATGCCTCCCTAAGAAATGTGCAGACAAGTGAGTCTCTGTGTCCAGTCAAACTGTCTTTTAGGATTTTGTTGATTTATTTTTTTTAAAGGTTTTGAATTGTTGTTGTTGAAAAGAGGTGGTTACTATGTGTAGCCCTGGTTGTACTAGAACTGGCTCTGTAGACAGCCTGCCTCTGCCTCACAAATGCTGGGGATAAAGTGACTTATTATGTGCATTGATATTTTGCCTGCATGTATGTCTGTGTGAGGGTGTAGGATTCCTTGGAACTGGAGTTAGAGACAGTTGTGAACTTCCATGTGCATGCTGGGCGTTAAACCCAGCTCCTCTGGAAGAACAGCCAGTGCTCTTTTTTTTTTTTTTTTTTTTTACAGTTTATTTATTTGGTGGACATTGGTATTTTGCCTGCAAATATGTCTGTGGGAGGATCTGTAACTCAGATTTTGGAATTATAGACCATTGTGAGCTGCCATGTGGTGGGAATTGAACTCAGGTCCTCTGGAAGAGTAGCCAGTACCCTTAACCACTGAGCCACCTCTCCAGCCCCCCAGCCAGTGTTCTTAACTGCTAAGTCATCTCACCAGCCTTGTGTATAACTGTTTTGCTTGCATGTGTGTTTGTACAACATGTAGCTGTCTAGTGCCTAAGGAGGTCATAAGGGCATTACCCTGGCACTGGAGTTAGAGTTTTGACTTGCCATGTGGGTGCTAGCAGTCAAATCTGAGTCCTCTGCAAGAGTAGCAACAGGTCCTCTCAACCACTGAGCCAATTCTCTAACCCAAGCCTTTTGTTTTCAAACATAGGCAGTAGGCTAGATTTGGCTTATGGGCCATGTATTTTATTGTTTTTTTGGTTTTTAGTGTTTGGGGTTTGTTTCTTTTTTGAAACAGAGTTTCCTTTTGTAGCCCTGGCTGTCCTGGAACTCACGCTGTGGACCAGGCTGGCCTCAAACTCAGAGATCCGCCTACCTCTGCCTCTCAAGTGCTGGGATTAAAGGAATGTGATACTAGGCCCAGCTTGGGCCATGGTTCCTGATCTCTGACTAACATGATAAAATTTACACAACTGAATAGGTTACATCTGGCACCAGTTTACCTAGAAGACTTTAAGATGGAAGGAGTGTCTTTTAGGAGGGCAGGGTTGGGTGTGTCTGCTAAGGAATCCTCACCACTCAGATCCTAAGCAGAGGCCTAAAACATAACACCCAGCGAGAAAACCAGTTATTTCTGGTAACATCCCAAGTGAACAGTTCCCAGGAGTTATTTGTTCCTGGTGAGAGTTATAAGTCACTTTCAAGCTTTGGCTTTGTGGGGAGGAAAAAAAAAAAAAAAGTGTGTATTTTGCCTGTACTGGTGCCTGTGGGGGCCAGAAGAGGGCAACAGATCCCCTGAAACTGGAGTTACAGGGAGCTGTGAACTGTCATGTGGGTTTTGGAAATTCAGTCTAGGTCCTCTGGATGTACAGCCAGTTTTCTTAGCCATCAACTCATCTCTCCAGCTCTGCAAATTGAGTTCTTCACCCTAAGGGCTAGGTAAAAGAAAGTGTGTATTTTTGCTATACTCTAATTTACTGTTTCTTCTAATGTTGAATGCAGAAACAAAACACAGTACTAGTCATAGTACTTATGACTTTGTCGTTGAGAGAAAACACAAGTATTGATTAGGAATGGTGCCATATGCCGGGGCTTGGGAGGCTAAGGCGGGAGAATCTTATGTTTGAGGTCTACATGAGACCTTGTCTCAGACACAGACAGACATGTATGTTCATAAAGGATATTAAAATGATAGTAATATGTGATGGTGTATAATGACTGTTCACCTATGGTATCAATGTAGCTGGCTTAGATGTTTTCTTTTTATATACTCAGTAATTTTGTTTTCTACAGGAAATTGACAGTAGTGACATGAAGAGCCCTGTGTTGCAAGACACAGAAATTGAAAAAGATATGCCAACACTTTCTCCACAAATAGGCCTAAAATCTCAAGAACAAGGTTTAGAGTTTTTGGCAGAGTTACCTGTGCCATGGTTATGTATAAGGGATGCTGAACAGTGCCTTGAGGGAAAAGTTGAGACAGTGTCAACCAATCCTAATGACTTAGGTGTTGTATATCATGATGGACCTGGAGCCAAAGTTTCCTGCTCTAATGAAGCTACAGTTGAGCCTTCTGGCGAAATAGAAAATAAAGAGCATTCTGTGTCAGGTATGAACCAGTTAACTGGGGACAACAGAGTTCCAACAGAGAGTAGAATGTATCACCTACTAGTCGGAAAAGAGATCTCCAAAAGAGAAAACCAGGAGTCTGTATTTGAAGAAGTCATAGATCCATGCTTTTCTGCTAAAAGAAGGAAAACATCCCTCCAATCCTCAGATCAAGAAACAAGATCAAGAAGTGAATCAGATCAAGAAGTGAATTTTACACAAAAACTGATAGATTTGGAACATATGCTTTTTGAGAGACATAAGCAAGAAGAACAGGACAGACTGTTAGCATTACAGCTTCAGAAAGAGGTGGATAAAGAACAAACAGTGCTAAACCGGCAGAAAGGATCCCCAAATCAGTACCAGTTGCGCACACCTTCACCCCCAGATAGGCTGCTGAATAGACAGAGGAAGAATTCCAAAGATAGGAATCCTGTAAAGCAAACCAATGCAGAACATTCAAAATCTCAGAGGAGCACAAAAGATGAATATTGGCAACCCTTTAAAAACACATGGAAGGATTCAGTTAATGGAAGAAAGATGCCAAGTTCTATTAAAGACAATTGTAATGTATCTAAAAGCACCTATCCCTTACAGCCTAGTAAGTCACAGAAAAGCATTTTTCAGATGTTTCAGAGATAACGAAGCAAAGCATGTGGAGAGTGTTCTGTAACCTAGGAAAGCTGTATTGCAAAGCTAGCTCTTCCATCATAAAATCCCGAAGTGTGGTATTAACTTCTGCTCAGCAAGCACGCTTATTCTCAAACTGTGGCTACAAAGGAAGAATCTATCAACGTGTTTCTGCAAAAGTCAGCAATAAGGAAAGGTCCTTGATTGTTTCTGTTGTCAATAACGGCTGTGCTCTAAGTGCCATGCCTTCACAGGTAAAATGCCTTGGTCAGGGCATCTTCAGGTGCCATTTCCCTTTCCAAACATTGTTTTAGGCTTGCTGCTGCTGCTGTTTTTGGTTTTGTTTGTTTGTTTGTTTTGTTTTTTTAATGAATGGGTAAAGAATCCACACAAGTACCTTCTATAACACTAGAGTAATTAATTCCCATCCTAACTATAATTTTAAAAATTTTAGCATTTCTTTTGACTTAAAATGGATTAGTATCAACATCGATTAGTTGACAAAAAGGCTGCTAGACTGTTAACACAAAAGGGTTTCAATAGGGTGGGCTGAGCGGTAGATTGGTGATAGGGGTCCCTGGAGCTGAATTGGGTAATCAGAAACTGGGTCCAGAATGGACACCAGATTTCTTGTTGTGGAACATTTTTCTTCATCCCTTCTTTGTCAAGTGGCAGAAAAATAGTTTACAGCTTTTCACACCATGGTACTTTGGTGTGAAAAGGCAAACATTGGGCTATTTCTACTGTTGGAGTGTAGAAAAGGGAATTTACTGCAGGAAATCACCCCATGCTCTACAGTTGAACACCATGCGTTAATGTCCTTATCGCTTACTGGCTCACACTTTGGCTTGTTTGTGCACAGAGATAGAAAGTGGTGTGTTGGGTCTGTCCCAGCTTTCTCTGGAAGGTAAATGCAAATGCAACTGACTTCATGTTGTGAAATTTGCTTCTGCTACCCTCTTTCCTTTCATTAAGACAGCTTTTAGTAAGCCATAGTATCAGCAGCGTTTCTCCTGTGTCGTGGTATTCATTTACTGTCAAACTGTCCGAGTGCAGTGTTTGGCTCCATCCACATTTTTGTCGTTTGAACTTTTCCTTCCATGTTTTGAGATTGTTTTTATGTTTATGTTGCCATATTTTTTTTCAAACGTTTTACTTGATGCTTAAAAGAGACAGTGTTGGCTTCAAATTGAAAGTTAATGCATTGAGGAGCTAGAGATACGGCTCAGCGGTTAAGAACACTGGCTGCTCTTCCAGAGGACCTGAGTTCAATTCCCAGCAACCACATAGTAGCTCATGACCATGATAGGAACTGACGTCCTCTTCTGTCACACAGGCATACATGCAAATAGAACACTCATATGTAGAAATCAATAAATCTTTAAAAAATTTCATTAAATCTTTGTGGAATAGTTCATGACCAAAAAGGGAAGAAAAACAGGCCACAGTGTGGCATAGTTAGAATTTATAATTTATATACTTCCCTTCCTGTTTGTCCATGGGAAGTCATCCTCCTGAATGAAGGTGATTTTCAGATTTTTAGTTTCTCTGTTTAGTTTTGATTCCTACTGTTTATGCCTTTGTGTTAAAAGTATTAAATTTTTTATTGGTCATTAGTGAAATGCTTTTTCCTCATTTTTGTTGAAAAATATTTAATTTCTTAGAGTATTAAAGTTGTGCAGGTGTTGGAAATAAAGTTTAAAAAAATTAAAAAGAGGCCAGGCATGGTGGCACAGCTTACCTAATCCCAGTACTTGAGAGGGAGCAGCAGGGGCATTTATGTGAGTTCTTAAAACAAATTTAAAAAAGAACGATTAATGAAAGTTGATGCTCATGTTTATTTTACCACACTTTTTTAAAAAAATGGCTACAAACCATGCACGTCAACCTCACGGATGCCAAGGCTGGAGGATTTTGATCTGATGATCCAGCTGGGCTGCATATTAAGACCCTGTGTGTGGTGTTAGAGGGGGACCCACAGCCTTGCACATGCTAGCTAAGCATCTCTCACTGAGCTACATTTCCAGCCCAAGTGGAACCACTCAAAAACCAAAACAAAAATAATAAAACTCCCAAAAAAACATGGTTGCTGGGCAGAGTAGCGTATGCTTTCAATCCCAACACTTAAAAGAAAAAGGCAGGCACAGATCTCTGTGAGTTTGAGGCCAGCCTTGTTTACAGAGTGAGTTCTAGGCTACACAGAGAAACCTTGTCTCCAGAAACAAACAAACAAACAAACAAAAAAGTGAGTGGCTGGAGATGGAGCACATGACTGGGAGGGGTGCTGTTCAGAACCTTTGCATGGATGGGCAGGAGGTATGCTGGGAGGTGGGAGACAGCCTGAGACTGAGAGTTTTTCTCCCTGACCAGCCTTCACAGCCTTTGGTGAGTGGTGCCCATCCTAGAAGGGGCTTTTCGTTGAATGATTTTTGGCAGCTGCCTTGAGTCACCATGTGCCTGTAAGATCCTTACCCATGCTTCAAAAACCAACTAGCAAAACACAACCTACAGCTGGGTGCCATGGCACATTCCTGTAATCCCAGCACTTGGGGAGGCAGAAGCAAGCTGATGGCTGTGAGTTCGAGGCCAGCCTGGTCTACAAAGTGAGTCCAGGACAGCCAAGGCCACACAGAAACCCTCTCTCCAACAAACGAGAACCCCCACAACCTACAACAGGGGTCTACAAGAAAAAAGTTTTTGATAGAGTTGGCTGTAATAGCCTGTGCATTCAATTCCAGGCAGGTAGATCTCAGAGTTCTAGGCCATCCTTGGCCCAACAGAGGTTCCAGGCCAGCCAGGGCTAGAGAGTGCTAAATAATGTGACCCTGTTTCCAAAAAGCAAATAAAAGCAAGGGCTGGAGCAATGACTCAGCAGTGTAGAGCACTTCCAGGGGACCTGGATTCAATTTTCAGCACCCACATGTCAGCTTACATGTGTAACTGTTCTGGATTTCCTGGGCACCACCCATGATGTGATGCACAGAACTGTCTCCATGTGTAACAGAAGTAACGTAACGGTGAAGCCGCAGTGGGTGTGCAATATGGGTCCAGGCAATCTTGGCGTGAAGGAGATTGTTACAGCTCTGAGGGGAGAGGTTTCCCTGTGTCTGTGTTACCACTGGAGGACACAACAAACCACAAGAGAGAGATTATTGGGAGAGACTCTGGAGGGTGGCTGCCTCTGCTTAGGTAAAAAGCGGCAGGGAAATAACCAGGAGACAAGAAACCAGGGTTTCTTGGGGTGTGGAGTTTCCCAGGGTATGGATAGGTGCTATTTCAAGTCCTGAGCTTGTAGGGAGCCAGGAATTGGTGGGTTTTCCAAACCTGGAAGTGAGCTTGGACTTTATACCCTATAGGAGAACACTGAGACAGTCTAACCATAAATTTGAAAGTCATTTGCTTCCTAAGCTAGCAGGAGCTTAGGGTGTGGGAGAGGATCGACCCTGAAGACCTCTGAGAAGGAAATGCTTTCCAACTGTTGCCTGTATCTCTGACATAGCCCTGTTAGTCCACTTCTAGACAAGGGATTTGAAGGCTGTAGTTGGATAATGATAAGAAAGCAAAACACAAGGAGCAGGAGATGGCCCTTCTCTTCCAGAAGAACACATGGAAGCTCACAGCTCTTATGCCCAGTTCCAGGAAATCCACCACCCTCTCTGGTCTCCACAGATACTGCACACACAATGTGAACACACATATGCAGGCAAAACACCCTACAAAAATTAATAAAATGTAAATAACATCTTAGGGACTGAGGTAGCCCAAAGCTAGCTTCAACCTTGACATGCTAATAGGCACCACAGTCATATGTTCTTGGAAAAGCGACAGGTCCCTTTTGCTGGAGATAAAGAGCATGACTCCTTTTAGCAAGTAGAAACTATCTTCAAGCACCCGAGAGAATGCTGGCTTTTGTCTAAATTTCACGCTTTGGGAAAAGGAATTTCTTTGGGTGGGAGGTAAAACAGGGTTTCATGTAGCCCAGGCTGGCCTGGAATTTGCTATCTAGCTGAAGATGACCATAAACTGATTCTCCTCTCACTATCAAGTTCTGGGACTGCAGCTATGTGCCACCATGCCTGGACCTTTTATTTGTTTATTTGTTGGTTTTGAACTTTAGCCGCTGTTTACTCCTATTGCAAGTCTGTTTGTTTGTTTATTTATTTATTATTATTATTACTATTATTATTTTGTAGCCCCGCTGTCCTGATACTTACTCTGCAGATCAGGCTGGCCTGGTAGCTTCTGCCTCTGTCTTGCTGGGATTAACGGCATAAGCCACCATGCCCAGCTCAAATCCCTTTTCTTTATAGGAAGCCAAAGCAAAGGAGTCTGGGAATTGTTTGAAGTCATAACAGTTTAGAACAGCATCTTGGAGCTGAAAGAAGAGGAAGGAAAACAAGCTACAGGTGTTATAAGTAGAGTCTCCTCTATCCTAGGCTGCCCTTTAACTCTCAAGGTAGTTCAGGATGATCCTGAACTTCTGATCTTTTCTGACTTGGAAAGAACTGGGATCCAGGTGTATGCCACCACACCTGGTTTTATTCTATGGACTGAATGCAAGTACGCTACCCATAAGCAACATTCTCTACCCAGATGCCTAGAAATATCCAAACCCAGCACAGAGATCTGCCTGCCTCTGCCTCCCCAAGTGCTGGGATTATAGGCATGTGCCTCCACACCTGGCTTACTTTGGTTTCTTTACTGAGTCCATTCCATACAGTTTGTTTTTTGAGACAGGGTCTCTCTGTGTGTCCCTGGCAGTCCTGGAACTTGCTATGTGAATGAAAATAAGGACATGGCCACTTCAAGGTATGATTGAGAAGGGTTTTATTGTAGGTATGAGGGAGAGAACAGCCAGAAACATCTAGAAGAGTCCAGAGTGAACATGGCAGCAGAACAGACTGGCCATGAGAGGGGAAGAGAGAAGAGAAAGAGGACCAAGAGAGTGCATGGGAACTGAGAGACTGAGTAATTGAAGCAGCTGTTACACAGGGCTGGGGGAAGGAAAGCAAGGCCCAGACGCTGAGCTGGAGAGGTTTAGGGTAGGGGATGGGTGAAGAACCAGCCTGCCTCCATCTTAGGATCGAAAGCCATCTTACAGTAAAGACAAACCACCCATTCCTGTTTATGATTAAACCTGTTTCTCAAGGATTGGGCTGTGCCCCACCTGTAACCTTAACTACAAATGGTTCTGTACTGCCTGTACCAGAAAACAGCCACATGTCTTTGTTTCAAAAAGTTATGACCCTACCTTGCAACCCTACTTTTGTTTCACAAGATCACTATAACCACTTGCCATGACCATCTTGCTATGACCACCTTGTTATGCTCCGCTCCTGTAACCCCACCTATTTGCTGCCAAATCCCCATTTGGAAACCTCCTACCCCTGGGCTATATATAAAAGCCCTTCTTTTCCTCATGTCCAGTGCTGATCTCTTGAAGTCTACTTTTAGGGAAAGACATCCCGTGTATACAAAATAATAAAAATAATAAAGCTTGCTTGAATTAATTGCTTGCTTGAATTAATTTGGCCATGCTGATTTCAGTCAGTAGTCTTTCTCCTTGAGTCTTTGGGATTAGCACAGGGTGGGAAGTGTGGATGATGATTGAGTGAGTGAGTGAGTGATGAGTGAGACTTGTCCCAGGTTTCTTTGGGACCTAATAGAAAGAAGCAAACAAAAACCTCTGACCTACATTGACAAGATGGAGGAATGTGTGTGGCAAGAGGAGGCTCATCCACATACATCCAGGAAAGAGAAAACTTCAGTAAGGATCAATTAAGGACAGTAATGGTGGTGCACGCCTTTAACCTCAGCTGGGGAGGCAGAGGCAGGCAGAGTTCTGTGAATTTTGGGCCAGCCTAGTCTACATAGTAAGACCCTGTCTCAAAAGCAAATAGAGCTAGAGCAATGAATTAAGAGGACTTGTTCTTAAAAAAAGACCCAGACTCAGTTCACCCAAATGGAGATTCACAGCCATTCATAAATTGTCCATGGGTACCAGACACACAGGTGATGTGCACACATATAGCAAGACAAAATAATACAAAATGTTTTTAAATCTTCAAAAAAAAATCAAGATAACCTAAACAAAACACACGCACAAAGGATCAGTTGGAGAAGAGAGGGAACCTCGATGGATCCGTAAAAGGCTTGAGTGTTCATGATGACTATAATTAGAGTTGCTGATTCAAAAGAACAACCGGCACCACTCCATAGGTTCTTACCTGAAGTGCCATTGGTCCTGTGCCATTCCCCACCCCTAAGGGTGCCAAAATTCCTCTCTGAAATTGCCTCCTTATAAAATTAAGCCCTAAGACATAATCATTAAATTCCCAGTGTTTCTGGGAGGATACATCCTACAAATAACAGAGAACTTGGATAAGATCAAATTTCTCTCTCGAAAGGAGGGCACGTGAATAATTGGAAATGGAGCATAATGAAGTAACTCTCCGGGGGTAAACCTGAATTTACAAAAAATAAGGCTAGACAAGGAGTGACAGCAAGAGACACTGACGTTAGACCAACCAGGCACCTTAGGAGCAGACAGCTTGCTTCCCACTGTGAGTGCTGAGAAGACCTTGTTTTCATAAATCAAACGATTATAGGAGCTAGATGCATCCCCACATCCCAGCTACTTAGGAGACTGAGGATGATCCTTGGGTTCACGGGCAGCCTAGCTAAGAAGGAAATCCCATCTCAAAAATTGAAAGGAAAAAAAAAACACTCAAAAAAAAATTTTTTTAAACAAATTGAACTTTTAAGCCTGTTTAGAAATGGGGAATGCAGAGCGCAATGCTGGCCTGTGTAAGAGATATCAAATATGAGTCTTTTCTATGAAATATCGTAAAACTTGTGTTTAGGAAAAGGAATTCAAATCTTTTTTTTTACTTTTCCACTTTGTAAGTCTTTTATGCAAATATCCTGCACACGCGCACGAACACAATAGCTTAGTAAAATCTTTGTTTACACAAAAGCCCCTGCTGCCTTCCAGGAATTCTACAACCTGGAGCAGTCGCCCTTAACCCTTCCTCCTTCACTTGCCAATTCTTTCTTGACTAGCCAGTTAAAAAAAAAATTCTGCTTTGTCCAATACTTCAGTTGGAGTGGTGGTCTTTTTCTTTGCAACCTTGAACTCTTTTTTTTTTTATTTTACTTGCATTGATATTTTGCCTGCATGAATATCTGGGTGAGGGTTTCAGATCTTGGAGTTATAGACAGTTGTGAGTTGCTATGTGGGTGCTGGGAATTGAACCCAGGTCCTCCGGAAGAACAGTCATTGCTCCTAACTGCTGAGCCATCTCTCCAGCCCCAATGAACTTTTTTCTAATATTGAACTCACCATTCTCCTAGGTGAAAACTCAGCAACAGCAAATACACAATTTGGAGGCATTCATGCTATGACACATGTAGAGGTCACAGGAGTTCTATGAAGTTGGTTCTCTTCATTTAGAAAAATAGTACATATATGAATGCTCTATCTGTATGTACACCTACATGCCAGAAAAGAGCATCAGATCTCATACATGGTTATGAGCTACCATGTGGTTGCTGGGAAATGAACTCAGAACCTCTGGAAGAACAGCCAAGTGCTTGGAACTGCTGAGCCATCTCTCCAGCCCCCTCCTCTCTCCCCACTTTTGTGTGGGTTCTAGGAATCTAACACAAGTATACTCTGGCCATCAGTCCTTCTCAACCAGAGCCTTTACCTGCTGGCTCCAAAAGCAGTACTTCATTTGTTGTTTTGAGACAGGGTCTCAGCATTTAATTCTGTTGACTTTGGCCTCCCTATGAAGACCAGACTGGCCTCAGACTCAAGAGACTGACTTCCTTCTGCTCCCAAGTGCTAGGGTTAAAGGTGTGCTGCACTATGTCCTGCTCCATGCATTGTTTGCTTGTTTGTTTGTTTGTTTGCAGACAGGGTTTCATTTTGTAGTCTTGGCTGTCCTGGACTTGCTTTGTAGACCAGGCTGGCCTCGAACTCACAGCAATCTGTCTGGCTCTGTCTCCCAGAGTTCTGGGTTCACAGGTGTGCGACATGGCGCCTGGCTGCATTTTTTATTTTTTTAATAAAACATTTATTTAAAGTTCGGTGGCCTGGCTGTAGAGATGCCTTAGCAGTTAAGAGCATTGCTTGCTCATCTACAGGATGACCGCTGACACCTGTCAGCTCATATGTCTGTCTGTCTTCTGGTCGCTGTGGGCACAAAGCACATACAGACATACCTGCAGGCAAAACATAACACACACACACACACACACACACACACACACACACACACACACTCTGAGAACCAGAGTTAAATGCCAGAGGCTATTGTTTATGGGAGATAACAAGGCGCGTGTTTCCCTGCCTCTAAACAATTGTACCTGCTGTGCTCAAGCACTTGTAGGTGCGGGGTACAGCAGGAAGTACGCTTGCTCCTGCCTGGATGTAGGCAGGAGATACACAAGCAGAAAGTACCTCAGGATATATGCCTGCTCTGATTGGACCTGATGGGAAGTACTGTGGCCTTATGGGCGTGCTTTTCAGCCTCTGCACAATGTGACTCTTTCATGGCCCATTTTCTGGGAACCCAGGAATGGGCCGGGCCAGAGTCCATCATCCTGGCCAGTACTTAAATTTTGCTTCAGTTTTGGTTCAAAATTGTGGTAGTGGTCTTATTCTCGCCCAGCAGGTTTAATAATACATATTCCTAATACAGCCTGCTCAGTCTCTCAGTGTTACTGTGCGTATGTCTTTAGGGCTGACCATTTGCAATTGGATAACCAATTCGTATGCTGTTCCCTTAGAAGACCATTTGTTCTCAGCCTTCCTCAGTTGGCTGTGATTCTTTGTGACTGAGGCCTCCTGGGCATACATAAATATTTAAAAAAAAATTTGGTTGCCAAGCTGGGTGGTGAGCACATGCCTTTAATCCCAGCACCTGGGAGGCAGGAGGGGCTCTGTGAATTTAAAGCCAATCTAATCTACAGAGTGAGTTCCAGGACAGCCAGGGTTACACAGAGTAATCCTGTCTTGAAAAACAAACAAAACAAAACAAACAAACAAAAAAAAAAACAAAAAAGTGTGATGACTTGTGCATTAACTGTCCTTTGATATTGTGCCTTAATTTCATGGCTGTGGTTTGTGCTTTTCTGTAAGACCTTACACATGGTTATTAAATGAAGCATTATTTTTTATAGCTGAATAGATCTTTTTTTTTAAAGATTTATTTATTATTTATACAGCCTTCTGTCCACATGTGTGCCTGTTAACCAGAAGAGGGCACCAGATCTCATTCTAGATGGTTATGAGCCACCATGTGGTTGCTGGGAATTGAACTTTGGAAGAACAGCCAGTGCTCTTAACCCCTGAGCCACCTCTCCAGCCCTAAATGAAGCATTTATTACTTATAAAAGTTGAGTCTTTGAGATGACTCAGTGGGTAAAGGTGCTTACTGCTAAGCCTGGTGACCCGAGGACTGAAGAGATGGCTCAGCAGTTCAGAGCACTGGCTGTTTTTCCAGAGGTCCTGAGTTCAATTCCCAGCAACCACACAGTGGCTCACAACCATCTATAATGAGATCTGGTGCCCTCTTCTGGTATATGGGTGCACATGCAGACAGAACATTGTATACATAATAAATAAACTTTTAAAAAGCAAACAAAACAAAACAAAACCTGATACCCTGAATCTGATCTCTGGGACCTATAAGATGGAAGGAAAGAATCAACTCCTGAAAGTTGTCCTCTGACTTCCACACCTATGCACACATACACAAGACACTCACACAGTCAATCAATTAATTTTAAGTAAAAGGGACAAACCCAGGACCTTATGCTTGCTAGCTACCACTGGGGTACTCTCTAGCATGAGTTAGTTTTCCTTTCAACATTCTGAATCATTTGAGGGTTGTTTTTTTTTTTTTTTTTTTTTTTTTTTTTTTTTTTTTTTTTTTTTTTTGTTTTTTTTTTTTTTTTTTTTTTTTTTTTTTTTTTTTTTTTTTTTTTTGCTGTTGTTGTTATTGTTTTCCTGTTTGAGTTCTTTCTGTTGGGATGTTGGTCTTTTTCTCAATTTCTAGAGAATTCTTTATATACTAGGAAAAATGACTTTTTCTCTGTTGTGAGTTACACAAAAACTTCCCCACGAGAGTAAGACTCCCCTGGGGCTGGAGAGATGGCTCAGAGGAACGGGGGCTATGTACAGCCTGCACTTCAGTTGGGCCTGTCTACCCTTAGCTTCCTGGATTTTGAGCATGGATCTGTGTTCCCATCTCTCCCTCTCTTCTAAGGCCGTCACACACCCTACAGGAGGGCATGGCAGGGGCCACTGGAGGCCGGCAGGGAGGGGAACTCTGCTCTGCCAAGGGAGCCAGCTCTACTCACCATGTATGCGCTCTTGGCAGCTTGTCCGGGGTGCCCCACTGTTCAACTGTGAAGGACTGGGGTCCATTTGAGCCTGTGGGGAAGGTGTTCTTTTAAAGGTCCTGAGTTCGACTCCCAGCAACCACATGGTGGCTCA